TGTTTCTGTGGCGTTGTCTTCACTTTCTGATTTGTCATCAATTCTGAGAGCAATCCAGTCAGGGTTTATTTAGTACAGTTCTCTGTTGATTTTATAACCAACTGCTGACTGCTTGGGACATAAAACTCTTGATGATTTACAAGCAGAAAGTGGGCAAGAAATCCATAAATCACATACTATACTAAGGGAGTGTAGGGAACACATGTGTGAGCAAGCACTCGCACACACACACACTCACCTTCAAAGGAAGAGTTGTGGGCATGTGCAGAAAATAGATTCATTTTTAATTTGAGGAGAATTGAGAACTCATTGGTAAGAGGCCCACAGTCAATAGCCTCTAGAATTTAAATTATACCAAGTAATATTTTAATGTAGAACAAGAGGCTTTGCCCTTTATTTCTTAAGGAGGAGACTTTAGTTCCCACTTTAGATATGTTCAAAGGAGTTTTTCTGGTCTCTGAAGGAAAAACTAAAAATTCTTTTTTTCTAAAAAAGTTTTACTGACCAAGCCAAAAATGCTAAAGTTGTCAGCATTTTCTGATACTTTTGAAACTAATCTGCAGTAGATATTTCTCAACTAAACACTCACTTAAAGATCTTTTTTCTTTTCATGTATTTTTTTTTCTGGGCCTGTGTTTAGAAAAATCTTTAATAATATGCTAAAAGTAGGAAAAAATAAGTTTCCAGTTCCACAGGATACCTAGAGTTTCAGGGAACCGACAGAGAAGGAGATATGGAGTAAAAATATCTTGAAAAACATTTTTGTTTGTAAGTGAAATTTAATAAATATGAATCTGCTACTATGAATAGTATGCCAACTGTGTACTTCCCCAAATATAGCATATTATAGCTGGAAATTTCGGGTGCATTTAGCAAAAAGCTAATCTCATTTGGATCCTGATTCAAACAAAACAAAGAGGAAAAATAAAATAAAAAAACAAAAAATTGGGGAAAGTCAAACACTAACTAGATATTTAATGACATTAAGAAGTTATAAAATTTTTAGGTGTAATGTGTTGGTTTTTTGTTTTTGTTTTTTTAGTCTTTATCTTTTAAAAGCATACAATGAAGTAATTTAGGACGAAATGATTTGATGGTTTGGATTTACTTTAAAACTCCAGCTGGGGGGTTGTGGGTGGGGGTATAAATGAAACAAGATTGGCCGTGAGTTGAGGTTAGGTGATGACTACATAGGGTTTCATATACTAGTCCCTCTACTCTGATATTTATTTGAAATTTTTCATAACGTAGGAAACAGTGAAACAGCTAAGCTGAGCTAGAGTGGTCCTTGAAAAGTTTGTTTATTCATTTCATATTTGTTACTCAACGGTAACTGAGAATGTGGGCTGTGCAGAGGGCCCTGCATTAGATCTTTGGTGAATGCTGGGTGGCAGGAGCTGCAGACAGCGCCCTGGTTACTGGGACAGACGAGGACACTGCTGAGCACTAGGCCTTAGTCGCCTCTGTGCCTGTGTGCGGGCACCTCTCTCCTCTCAGTTAGTGAGAAGGCATCTGCCCCGCGTCATCGGGAGGAGTTTCTGTTTGGAGAGAAACACCAGCTGCCCGGGGTGTGGGGCTTCATCGCAACCCTACTCCACTGCTCTAGCAGTAAACAAAGCCAGGAGGAGACCCCGAGGTCAGAAGCAGAAAACAAACACCATGGCCAGCTCTTCACAAACAAGGGGCTTTATTTTTATACTGTACAACCTACCCGCGCCACCCCCCCCCCAAAAAAAAAAGCAACAGGGAGATCATTTAAAGGGCTGGCTTTGTAGCAGAGAGCCACTTGGTGCATTTGAAATTTAGACATGTGCCCGGCTCAGTGAAGCAAAAGAGAAGGGGACTGCCATCTCTGGGAAGTTCTGCCCCCTGAAAGACACTGCCTGGAGCTCTGCCCACGGGAGCCAGTGCAGGTCCACACTGCACAGAGATCGCCCTCTGTTGGTCCAAGGGGAGAAGGGTCCTAAGAGCTCTGTGAAAGCCCCTTTCGCTTGGTGTCTGGGCCTCATATCCAGGCCTGGACAAGCCCTTCCCTGTCCATTGAGATTGTAAGCTGTCCTCAGTCTCTCCAGCCAAAAGGAGCCCAAAGGGGCTCGCAGAAGATGTTTCCAGATAACCTCAAGTTCTTAAGACACCTGTCTCCTTTGATTAACAAGATCTTAGCTGAGTTCCGTGTAGCTCACCAGAACGTGCCTACCCACATGGCCCCATGGCGGCCGGGGTGGAGGTGAGGCATGTCCCCTGGTTTCCTGGTCACTGAGCCCTGAGCTCTGAGCTTTGCCAGCAAAATCAATATTACAGGCTACGTGCCTCTGGGTCTTGCCCTAACAGGAAGTGCGCAGAATCAGGTCACAGGTATTATTAAAACATTTTAATGGCTTCCCGATTACTCTGCGAGCAAAGACCAAAATATTTGACGAGGCTGACGAGGCCCCCGGGCTGGGGCCTGCACACAGAGCCTTTGAGCACCTGGGCCAAGGCAGGCTGCTTCCGCCACCAACAGCCTCGGGTGGCCAGTGGGCCAGACCCTCCAGTTCACTGTCCCGACCACGGTTCTCCCTTCGCCAGGATGAGATGCTGAGAGGACAGAGCGAGGCAAACGCCCAGGCAGCAGCCCAGGCGCTGCAGGAATGTGTCCTCGCTACTCAGACACCTGGTGTCAGAGTCCGGGGGCCGCTCGGGGGGCTGTCACGTTGGCCCCTGCACCCCCCACATAAAGACAGACGGAGATCCGAAGCCAAGAGCTGGTGGGTGCAATTTGCCGGGAACTGGAAGGAGCGCTGCCCGAGAGCTGTAGTGGCAGCGACATATTAAGGTTTGCGCAGCTGCGGCCCCCCCAAGGCCTCTGCCACCCAGGGCATGTGCGGGCGGCACCCTCCCCCGCTTCATTCCCAGGACAGTCCTCAGCCGAGCACACCCGCCGCCTGGCTGTCCGTGTGAACAGTGCTCCCTGGGGTTGTGTGTGCCAAGGGCCTTGACTGCACGCCCCAGGCAAACTCCGATGGCTCTCCTGACTAGCTCAAATCTCTCTTAGGCCCCAGGACCCCCCTCCGGTGTCCGAGAATAACTGTCAGTGTCTCCCCCACTAGACTAGCAGCTCTGCGAGGGCAGAGCCATATCTGGCCTCCTGTTGGTTTGGTTTTTCACTGTTATAGCCCCACTTCATGGCCCTGGTCTTGACCCAGAGCAGATACTCAGTCCATCAACATCGACAGAATGAACAAATTCCCATTTTCTGACCCCTGCCTGTTGCAGGCCAGCCTCCCACCCTGAGCTCCTGGAGCTGTTAGCTCTGACATACTGTCTTCAAAAGTATCAGTTCCCTCTATGGTGAGCATTTCACTGTCTTAGAACAGGGCAGTTTAGTTGCTGCTGTCTGGAGCCCAAAACTCCCCAAGGCCACTTCCTTGCATGTGGGACTGCTGGTATCACCCAGACAAATTGGCTGTGCTTTCCTCCAAGTTTTCATACAGAGACATTCTCTCCTAACATCTTTTTCCATTTTGAGCAGCCCTTTCTGCCAAACCCAAGCCCAGGAATATAAAGTTGTAGGGTGGGTAAGAATGAAGAAGGAAAGGAGTGAGAGAGGCGGGCATGCAGGGCTGTAAGTAGGCATGCCACTGGTGATGCTCAGCCATGTTCCTGTCACCCAACTTCCTGCCCGCAGCTAGGAATCCAGTATTTCATGGATTGAGTATAAAGCTAGTTTCTGTGAACTGAATTCTATTTTTCCATCACCTTCTGTCATCAAACATGAAAATAAATTCTCATATGAAAAGATTTTGTTCCCAAGATAAAATACAAATCACAATAATATACCAAGCTTATATGAATCATATCCTTGGAAAACTAGATATTTCTGATAAAAATTAGCAAAAATCACTCCATATGTAAACACAGTACCAAAACTTTAAAGAACTGCTAAAATCCTGTCTTGCTTTGGGTAAGTCTCTCTTTGTAGCCTTGAGTGCCCTTCCTTTTGTAACCTAAGGAAAATATTTTCTTTTAAAACCTGGCGATTTTAACTGTCTTCCAAAGTCTGTAAGTCTGTTCTGGTTGTTTATTACACAGTCCAGATTCAGGGAAATTAAGGGCACCAAGTTTTTTGTGCGTATTGTTTTTCGTGGTTTTTTTATAAAGAAGATGAGCTTGTCTTGGCCATAAAGATTGTTTCCACGATTTGTGATTTTCCAGGCTTTGACATGGCAGCTCTATGCTGTCTAACTCAATAGAACTCTTCTATACACCTTAGAGAAGTCCCCAGGTTCTGTCGGCCACTGGGCCCAGGTAGTTCATGCCCAGCACAGACTTCAACCTGGGGTGGACATCAAACTTCAACCTTGCCAACAAGAACATCAGCAGCTAAGAGTCACTGCCACCCAATGATAACTTAAGGATTTAATGTCATCATTGTCTTGTTATTATTTATTTGTATGGTTTAGCCTCCTATCTAATATCCTAACAGGAGATAGTCTTTATTTTATTTTATTCCATTTATTTATTTGTTTGTTTATGCAGCTTTAAGATACCCAGAGTCCTCAGGGGACACCTGAAGGGATATGCAGATCTCCCTTGGAAACTGAGAAGGGCCCTGGGAAAGCTTCAGTTAAATCTGTTTTCTCTTCCCTGCTTCCCTCCCACCTCCACTCTCGCCACTGTGGAAACCCCCAAAGTCACAGCAGCAGTGACTTTCCCCTGGCTGCTGGCATTAAAATTGAGACACCAGTACCTTCTTATAGGAAAGGAGTGGCTGATGGATAAACAGGGGAGATTCCTGCTTCTGAACCATATGCAGGGGATCCCTAGCTGTATCAGAAGGTAATTTCTCCACCCCAGCCCAATTTTTACCAAGTTGAGACATTCTACGCCCCACCCCCCCTCGAATGGCATCCGTCAGGCTGCCCGGGCTGCTCTGCTGTCTGACTTCTGAAGGTTACAGCACAGAGCATTTCATCTGCCAGCAACATGACCTCAATGCTGTTCCCTCGGCATCAGGGTCTCTAGCAAGGGAGGGAGAATATTTCCTCATAGGGGGGAGGAGAGAAGCGGGCAGAGTCCTCGCCTCCCCGCTGGGTCTCTTCTAGCTGCTCAGCACCAGGGCTGGACCTGAAATGTGAGCAGAAAACACAGACGCGTTACAGCCCACAGCGCCACTCCCAGGCCCAGGCCCAGGCCCAGGCCCACCACCTTCCTTAGAGGCCCAACATAGCCATAGACCATGACTGCGACCGCGGGGGGGTCCCCACCACGCACCCCGTACCTGTCACGTCCACCATCCATGAAGGAAGGGCGGTCCTGGTCGTCAACAAAGGCGGGGTTCTCTGAAGGGTAGATGGTGTAGTACTGAGGAGGGCTCGGAGGGACAGCGGCCACCACGCCAGGTGGTGAGAGACAACAGGGGTTCACCCCTGGCTGCAGATAGGTGGGGTTCACCCCAGTGGGCTCCTGAGAGCCGTAAGGGGGAGGGATATACTGCACCACAGTAGCCCCGTGGAAGGTGATGGGCTGGTTGATACCAGTGAAAACAAACGACTGTCCTCCTGCCGTCGGCTCCGAGTCAAGGACCCTTTCCTCGCGTTCCTTGCACAACTGACAGGAAAGCATTTGGAACTTGCACACGGCAATCAGGATGAATGTCACCCCGACCGACAGCAGGATGGGCCCAAGGAGCTGGGTCCATTCAAAGTGGGAGACCCCTTGGTATTTGATCCAGCCCATGACGGTGAACGTGGTCCCCACCAGTCCCAGGAAGACGCCTGAGAAGAGCAAGGTGGCCCCTGCCTTGTCATCGTCGGACACCTGGATGTCCGCCGTACTGGGTGTGTAAGGAGTGACCGAGAACACGTTGAGAGGGAAGTCCTCCAAGGGTCTGCTGCCCCGCTCCATGGTCCTCGCGCAGTCACCCGCCGCTTGGAAGGGAAAGGGATTGTGAGCGCTCCTAAGAGCCGAGCAAAGGGATCCCAGGCGCAGGTTAGTTATGGGGGAACTTTGGGCTTCTGTGGTTAACAGAGTAGAACAGGCAGAGGCCTGAACTTTGTGTAGAAGAATAAAGGTCTGAGAACTGAAGCCTGAAGTTTTCTCATAACTGTCATCAATTGACGGTCTCTGTTTTGCAACTCAGTGACAATCTCTCTCTCATTCCCATTCATTCATTCACTCATTCACAAAGTGTTTATTGAGCTGCCTTGTGTGCCAGAAAGAGCCTTTCAAGACACCTAGGCACCGTTCCAATGCCCTGTTTGTGCCTTACCAAAACCAGGGTTGTAGAAATAACAGAGTGACCTCCAGGGCCTCTGGCCAGGCGGGGGGGCCTTGATGTGTCAACCACATGCTCAGACACCTGCCCCAATTTTCCTGCTGGGTCAGCTCTTTGGAAATAGGCAGACTTGACCGTGTGTGTTCCTTCCCACTTCCCATGTGCCTTTTGCTTTCAGCATCTGAGGAATAATTCCAGCCTCCAGCTGCGGAGAGGAGAGAGGCCACAGGAAACCTTCCCATGCACCACATCCCTGGCAGAGGTTGAGTGAGCGTCAGGCATAACCCAGCGTCTTGGAGACACATGCTCCAGACCCTCCATCCATGGTGGCAGCACAGTCCCTGGTCTCCAAGGTGAAGTAAGCAGTTGCATGTTCAAGCCCGCTGTGTTTTGCAATCAAACCCAAGCTCATTTAGAGAAGAAAGCTCCACCTTCAGTGGCATTATCTGTCATTCATAACTACAGAACCTCTTCAAAGCAACCCCATGAATTTCCTCCTCCGCAGAATGGTAGCTGTAGCCCTCTTTCTTTCCTAGACAGATCTGATGCAAGCAGATGTCTCTCTTCAGTGGTTAAATATTATATCAGCTCCTTTTCTGCAACATTGAGCAGAAGGAAAAGAGTTGCTCCCTTGCTCCAAGTCAGGGCTTCCCAAACTTGCCTGATGATAAAAATCATCCAGGCCACTGTTTTAAGAGGTAAAATCTGAGCTCCCAACTCAGAAAAACAGAACCAAAATTTCCAAGGGAGAATACTGCCCCAAGTGGCCCTTGTCATCAGGAATCTTTGGAAACCCTAATCCAAATTAATCCCAAGTGCTCCTGGGAGATCACAGTACTTTTTTCTCCACTAAAATGCCTCTCCCTGCTACAGGACAAAGCCTGTAATCTCCAGCTTCACTGCCACCCAGATGAGAACCAGGCAGGTGACCCCTCAGGTATGTTCCCTTGAGCAGCGAGGATGAAGTCTTGCAGTCGAAGTGGTCTCCCCCATTTCAGTCTATTGCTCAAGCAAATCACTAAGCCAACCCAGATACAAAAGGAAGGTAACTGGATTCTTCCTCTCTGGGAGGGATGTGAAGGTCACTGTGCAGAAGAACACGTGGGGTAGGGTGTGTTACTACCACTCTCTGGAAGATACAGTCTTCCACAGAGAATGCTGATTGCCTTGTCTCTGTTTAGTCTGTGACGCTGCTTGAATTTTTGTCCATGTGGACATCCAAGGTTGTCCCAAGGTTTTAGATCAACCATGTTGTATCCTCACTCACGCATTCTTATTTGCTGGCAAGTTCTCGATGGGACCCGTGGGGCGACACTGTCACAGTCACCAAGAATGTTAAGTTCTGAATTCCCCTGAGTTCCTTGTACATTTTCATCGTTTTTCAGACTTATATATCAAACCTCCTGTTTTTAACCACCAATCCACATTCCTAGTTAAAAATTGTAATTTTGAAATGATTACAGTTCAAAGGGATGAATGAAAAGTGACACTAAAACCACAAAAACAGAGTATTCAGAGCTTATCAGAGAACTCTCAGGAAATGAAACTAGCATGATTCTGTATTTGTTAACAAAACAGTTGGTTGACTATGTCGTGGTGGGAAGTAAATTGCTTTGTGGAAGTCATGTGTGTGTGTGTGTGTGCGTGTGTGTGTGCGTGTGTGTGTGTGTATGATCAAATGAATTTTTCAAAAAGGGTGGTAAAGTGACAGATTCATCTTTCAAAAATCTAACTGCCTATGATCATGATCCTGCAGCATAATCTATTTCACATCAGTGTGGGCCAAGTCCACTTCATTTTTTTTATAATTTTTTTTTAATCCTCACAAGGATATTTTTTCCATTGCTTTTCAGAGAGAGTGGAAGTGGGGGGAGGGGGAGACAGACAGACAGAGAAAGAGAGAAACATCGATGTGAGAGAGACACATCAGTTGGTTGCCTCCCACACTCACCCTGACCATGGCCTGGGATGAGCCTGCAAATGAGGTACATGCCCTTGGCTGGAATCAAACCAGGGACCTCTCTGTCTGCAGGCAGACGCTCTAACCACTGAGCCAAACCGGCCAGGGCCAAAAAGTTTCTTAAATCAGATTTTCCTTTTGTACTACTTGTCATGTTTTAATTGGAACTTCTAAATTATTATTTTATTTACAGTTGCAAGTTTCTTTTTAATGTTTACTATTGAAATAAAATATATGAACAAGTTGGAATATTATTAAAACAGGTATAGGTTTAGGCTAAGGTTTAGGCTTAGGGTTAGGGTTAAAGTTAGGGTTAGGGTTAGGTTTATGGTTACAGTTAGGGTTAGGGTTAGGGTTAGGGTTAGGGCCAGGGCTTGGGTTAGGGTTAGAATTAGGGTTAGGGTTAAGGTTAGAGTTAGTGTTAGGCTTACTGATAGGGCTAGGGTTTGGGCTAGGTTAAGGGTTATTGTTAAGGTTAGGGTTAGGGCTAGGGTTAGGGTTAGGGTTAGAGCTAGGGTTAGGGTTAAGGCTATGCTTAGGCCTATGATTAGCATTACTGTTAATGTTAAGGTTAGGCCTTGGGTTAGGTTTAGGGCTAGGACTAGGGCTAGGGTTCTGGGTAGGGCTAGGGTTAGGGTTAGTGTTAGTATTAGGGTTAATGCTAGGGTTAGTGTTAGAATTAGGGTTAAGGTTAGGACTAGGGTTAGGGTTAAGTTTCGGTTTAGTGTTACACTTCTGTTAGGGTTAGGGTTAAGGCTAGAGTTAGGGCTAAGTTTAGGGTTAGGGTTAGGTTTACGGTTAGGTTTAGTGTTAGAATTAGGGTTTTGGCTAGGGTTTGGGGTAAGTTTAGGGTTAGGGTTAGGGTTAGGCTTACTGTTAGGGTTAGGTGTCAGGTTAGGATTAGAGTGTTAGAATTATGGTTAGGTTTAGTGTCACGGTTATGTTTAGGATTAGGGTTATGGCTAGGGTTAGGGTTAAAAAAACTTTTTTGATAGAAAACACTACATTTTCTTAGGAAAAATGTTGTTGTTTTTTAAATCCTCCCTTGAGTATAGGTTTTTCATTGCTTTTCTGGAATGAGTGAGAGAGACGGAGAGAGAACCGTCGATGTGAGCGATACCCGTGGATTGGTTGCGTCCTGCATGCATCTGGACCGGGCCAGGGATGGAACTTGCAACTGAGGTTTGTGCCCTTGCCCAGAATCGCTCCCAAGGCCCTTCAGTCCGGGGGCCAATGCTCTAACCACTGAGCCAAACCAGCTAGGGCTCCACTTGACTTGAGCACAGATGAAATACCACCAGGTCTCTTGTAACAAAAAAGTACCAAATATTCCAACCCCTGAAAGCACATAAAAGGCACAATAAAATACAAAGCCATGATCTTGGACAACATGGAAAACCAGTGATCTGCCAGTTTTGTTTTCAAATATGTGGCTCGAAACCCTTCAAAATTTCCAAAATTTAAAAAGAATCTCTTCCCAAACATTTTTAGCATTCTGCCCACCACATGACACTGTTTGGCTTCCCTCACCCCTAGCACACTGTGGGGGGTCGGGGGGAGACTCAGTGTAGGGGGTTGGGGGAGAAAGGCAAAGCAGCGGGAAAGGAGCTGGGGGCTGCGCTCTGCACAGGAGAACCCTGTCACCGGCCACCATCACTCCACAATGGGGAGAAAATCAACAACAGCAGAAGTGGCCTGGGGGGCATGATCAGCTCGAGGAAACTGGTCCTTGGATTCAACCCTGAGTCCAGTTACTGTGAGAGGAAAACAGAGTCAGAACACACAGCTCCTGACTCTACTTGGGAATCCGGCAGCTAGACTGGGCCTGGTGCCCCTCACGAGGCAGGTATTTCCTCCACAACATGGCTGGTCATTAGGGCTAAAGCAGAAAAGCAGGCAGCTGTCACAGAGAGGGGCAGCCAGGGTCCAAAAGCCACGCCCTGACCAGCTCTGTGCCTCAGAGCACCCCAGCTGCGGACTTGCAGGGAACATGAGCAAGGCCCCTGTGCTACTCGGCCACACCCCTACAGGACTTGTGGTGAGAGGATTGATGCATCTGGGGGGGCCCTGGATGCAACAGCTGCAGAACCTGCATCTGAGAGATGAGTCTGCACTTCAATGAATGTCAGTGTCTATTAGTCAGTTGGAGGGAGGTGTTTGGAGAAAATGTCAATAGTAGGGATTATCCCCTGCTAACCTGTTCCATTTACTTGAATTGTGCCTGACTATGGCAGATAGTTATATTCACCTTTTATAGTAAAAAGACATGGTGGTTGGACCATACTTATACTCTCATAGCTATACTATGGTGATGGCAAGAACCAAAAAATGTCCCCAAGCATTTTGCTTTGTTACAAGAATCATAAGACTATT